GATTGGTCACTTGCAATGTTGATCCTGGAACAACATTTAGTATGATGATCTGGGAACAACACCAACACGACAATATCAGATCGTGCCCAGCGAATCACATTCATAGTTCAAACTGCGCATCAGAAGACGCATGATTTTTGGTAAGTGTGAACACGGCGCGGTTGTTGGAGTATTTCAGAAACTGCTGATCTGCTGGGATTTTACTAGCAAGATGTACCTAATAAAATGTCTAAGTATAGCACAGTATTGAGCAAACAGCCTCTTTACAAGGAACTGCCAGTTTTCTCTTCCGTTTATTATTTTACCTCTACCTCAACAAGGTCATCGTCACATGTAACGATTCTTTCACATGGGATCGGTTACCCAGTTAAAGAGGAGAGTTGTTGTGAAAGCCCCCTGTGGTCATACAAGCAACACTTGGGGCTCTTATACACTCCACATGCACTACTTGAAGGCACAAATACATTCCTGTCTCTTCAAGTTGTGCAGAGACATGAATAAAACAGCTCCTTTAGGTTTTGAGATTATATTTAGAGCAAAACTTAATATGACTATGTTAAAGATAGTAAAGTGGCATATGCCATTTTATTAAATTTTATTAACTATTTTTAAATTGTATTAACTCATTATAGAATCATTGGCAGCTATGTGGACACCTTAATTTGGGATCTCACCTGGGTTTGTCTGTGTGGGTGGTTCTGCTCATAAACTCTGCTGCTTTCAAAGGGAACATCGATATGTTTTAAATCATAGGCTGATTTTTCTTTGTCGTGGTTCTGTACTCCACTCCGTGCTGTGACTCTTCAGTATGTTGAGACCCAGCATTAATCTTTTTTTTCTTGTGTAACATTTGACTGATTATGTGCCATTTCCCATGTTTTTTCCCCTTTCAATGCTGAGTTTGCAGTTCAGAATTCTCAATCCTGTTCTCCTCAGTTTTATTCAGAAGTGTAGATATTTTATCCTGGAAATGCTAACAAAAGATGGAGAACTGTTTGTAAATCAAACCTGATATTTATTGTACTAATGCAGCTTACATTAAAAGTAAGATTTATTTTATTTTCCTTTGACTGTAATTACTTTATTACTTTGACTGTAAAGCACAATTATTCAAAAGTCACATACAACAAAATGCAGTATGATAACTGTAGCTGCAGCGTTTTAAACCAGTTTATCTAAAACTGGCCATCTAATTGGTCTAAATCATTTCTACTGTTAAATATTAAAACGCACAACAATAATTTTAAGTTTTCTGTTAATATATGAAGCATGAAATACATAAAAAGTTATTTTGTTAAACAGTGCAACTTCAAAGAGAATGTTTTATGCAGATGCAGACATGAAGTTTATCGTCATTCATCCAGCAGGGGGCGCCCATCAACTGTCAGGAACTCTGTTTATGTGAATTAAAGAATACATAAAAAAATAACCACACAATAATCCAGAGAGGAGAGGTGAAGTCTGGATTGTCTCTACATAAATCTGAGAAGTAAATAATTTTTATCTTTTTTTTTTTATTATTATTTATACATTTTTTAGGCGATCTGAGCTTCCTTATTGCAGGTTCCACACAGACAGCCAAAGAGCCCGTTGATCATCTGTATGGCACAGAGGATCACCTGCAGGCAGCTTGTGGCCAGCAGAGTGCCGAACAGTCCAAGGTTGAACTCCACAATGTTCTTAGGCTCTGTGCATAAGCTCCATAATGTCTTGTTTGTCAGGTAGTTGTTGTCACTGTGCAAGAGAGGAGATTTATAAATGACTAAGAGTTGAGAAACGTATGAAATGTGTCACGAGGAAGTCACCCCTGTGCTTTACCCTGTGAGTTCTTTAAAAGGCGTTGTCCAGACCAGTCCGGTTTTGCAGAGAGGCCCATTCTGCAAACCAAGTACTGCAACAATTATACTGTACAGGCCTCCAGCAACACCCACTGCAGCAAATGCAATTGATAAGAACATCTGCAGAGAGAGTAAATGATAAAGGTCAAATGCAATCATGATACAGTTTAAAGACACATTTTTTTTCCCATCCTGTTGATAAATAAAACAGGTAGTTGTAGGTGCTCACTAAGCATCTGGTGACATTTTTCTTTCAGTGTTTGCTTTTCCCATAAACTGTAGATTTATCAAGATTAACTACAAGCCAAACCAAACATACTAAAACAGGTCTGTTACTCCCTCCACAGTTTGTTTTGCTAGTGTTTATTTCACTCTGTATGTAAACATGATACCTTAAAAGGTTTGAAATGAATTCTGATAAAACTTTATTTAGCGTCAGGTCACGTTAGCAATCCATTAAAATTTGACTTTAAGGACTTCAAGGTCTACTTAATGTTTTATTGGCTGAAAATTAGGGGAAAGCGTTATAATTTAGAAACCACCATTCTTACAATTGTGCTGTGTATTGTCAGCATATAGAAAATACAGTATAAAGATTTAAAATATTTCATGTTTGACCTCTGACCTCTCCTTCAGGTCACAGTGATAGTAATCGTATAAATACATAAGTTGTATAGATGTCCATGTTCGTGAACGGAACAAAACTAGTGATCAAAAACGTTTTCAATTAATATTTATTGCTAAAAATTTTAATGAAATGAATGCTACACTTGTAATCTATCCAGATTAAAAATAATATAGTCAAAATTATCAAAAAAAAAAAAAGAAGTTTGTAACAAGGCAGATGACAAAGGCTTTTTCACTTGTTTTTAATGTGCAAAGAAAACAAAATGAATATATAGAAAATACAATACTGTTTCCCTTAAATGTAAATATTACCCAGAGAGCAAGCTAACTCAGGTGCTACTGGTTGGTGCTATGTTAGGTCACCTTTTTAATTTCTGTAGCAGACTCACATTTCACAGTGTAATCGTAGCTTAACTTTAGAAACAACTTTAAGTTTGGATTTTATTAAAATCTATTAATAAAATCTGTTAGTCTATTATAATATTAAAATCTCTCAACCAGTCGCAGAAGATGGCCACTCCTCCCTGAGCCTCGCTCTGCCGGAGGTTTCTTCCTGTTAAAAGGGAGTTTTTCCCTGTTGGGTTTTTCTGTGTGTGTGTTGTTGTAGGGTCTACCTTACAATATAAAACGCCTTGAGGCGACTGTTGTTGTCATTTGGCGCTATATAAATAAAACTGAATTGAATTATATGGATCAGTCCATTCAGTGTCAAGACAGTAAGATCATATAAAAAGTAGCTCAGCTGAAACGACTTGTTAAAATATTAGAAAACTGGTCAGCCTCAGGATATTATGATATAACAATTTTGTCTAAATTCTCCACACTTGATGTGCGTCAAATATCACATCTATAAGTGTTTTAAATGTACAATCAATTTTCTGAGAGCTTAAATGTCTATGACTTTACTCTGCAAATATATTTAAAGAGTGTGTTTATTAACACAAAGTATTATCAAAGAAAAGGCATTATGCATTTTGAAATATGATGTAGTTTCAATAAATATCTTTTATAATAAAAATAAATTTGATCCAGTGTTCCGATTTTTCCTTTTTGTCTATTTACTCCATTTAACAATCCATTGAGACATTTGTAATATTGTTTTATTTCATTTAGTTAATTTAAAACACAGGTAAGATATCCTGTACCAAACCAGTGAGAACTTGCAGTTTTAATTTGTTTTCACAGTCTTAGCAATGACAAAAATAAAGAACATTTTTAATTTCATGAAGTGAAATTGTATCTTTTCACTTCAGCTATTTCCATTTAAACAGGTTGTATATGGACTATTACTACTGGGTTTGGTACCAAAAGTGTACATATAATAATCTTTAAATGAAATAAACATATTATGTTAAGTAAATATCTGCATATGCATAAGGGAGGCTGCAGGGAATTCAGAGACACAACTTGTTAAGATTTTCAGCGTTACAAATATAAAATGATAAAATATAATTTATAATAAGAGAAAAACAACATTGGGTGTAGATTATTATAAGTAAGGCAAAGCAACAGAAATGAAAAATGTCAACTTATATAAGACTTTTCTAACTTACATGGGTAATGAAACTTGAACATAGATGATTCGGGTCATGGCTTTTTTAGGATACTTGTAATAAAATCATCAGTGATCATTGTAAAAAAAAAATAGGTAATTTGGGATTCATATAATTGTATTATGCGGTAGAGGGGGGTGAATAATGTAAGAGAAGCTTTAAGACATATGTATTGAGAAGGGCTGCAGCTATCAATTATTTTAGCAATTGAATATTTTATCTATAATTCCATCAATATATTTATTTATTTATTAAGTGTAATTGGATAAGAAATACTTTTGTCTTATTAATGAGCAATAATAAATATTCAAAAGAGAAAACAGAGGCATCTTAAAATGAACTGCTCATTTTCCATTTTAGAAATTGCAACATTTTTAATAATTTAAATAAATACAAAATAAAAAATTAAACCCTCCCATAGTATTCACATTTGATTTTTTTTTAAAGAAATTTGTCAAGAAAAACATTTCTTAATGCAAAA